TACCTCTTTACTCAGACTTGAGTAAAGCTAACTGACTCTATTCAATCCAATGAGTATTTACTATACTTTTACTCAAGCTTGAGTAAGGCTAATTTACTTCACTCAAACGATGAGTAAATTGGTATATTCTTACTCAATCCATGAGTAATGTTAGTTTACGTCACTCGACATCTGAGTAATGATAATTTGGTTTACTCAGTCTTTGAGTAAAGACGATGTTTTACTCAAACTTTTGAGTAGGTTTACTGAAGAAGCGTCCAGAGTAAAATGAATTTACAATTTTACTCAATGGATGAGTAATTTTACTCACAAATGGTGTACATTTACTCCTTCCGGTCGAGTCAAATGACTCGCCTATTGCCCATCAAGACAATTTTACTCACGTTTCTGAGTAGAATTACTAACAACGAATATTTACTATGTTTTTACTCAAGCTTGAGTAAAGCTAATTCACTTTACTCAAACGATGAGTAAATTGGTATATTCTTACTCAATCCATGAGTAATGTTACTCGATATCTGAGTGCTGATAATTTGGTTTGCTCAGTCTTTGAGTAAAGACGACGTTTTACTCAAAATTTTGAGTACGTTTACTCAGGAAGCGTCAGAGTAAAATGAATTTGCAATTTTACTCGCTGTATGAGTAATTTTACTCACAAATTCAGTAAATTTACTCATTCCGGCCGAGTCAAATGACTCACCTACTGCCGATAAAGACAATTTTACTCACGTTTCAAAGTAGAGTTACTCAACCGCTGAGTAAAACATGCCAATTACTCAAAGTGTGAGTGACTTTGCTCGCAAAATGAGTAATTTGACTCAAATTGAGAAGTGGATTTTTTGCAGTGTACGAGCATTGAAATGAATAAGTGAGAATTGATCGAATTTGTTAGAGTGTTCAGAAACAAAGGTATCCTCAAGAAGGTAATTATTGTTGTTTGAAATACACGAGTTAAAGAAGTGCTCATCAGAGTCCAAGTTATTGATATTTGTTAAAGTTTCGGAGATTGGATTAAATATTAAGTCTTTAAAGGGATCAATATTAAACGTAAATTCAATATTCGATTCGCGGAGAGCCAACAAGAATTCTTCGTCATTATCAAAGTGGTTGAATGGAAAAATAGAGGAGAGACACGGTGCACAAGACCAGTCCATTTTAACGGCTGTCTTCGCTGATTTAAAATTCAGGCCAGAACAATTCATATCGAACCATGCTAGACAATGGTTGCATTGTGTCGCGTGGTGATTAGCA